CTGTACCAGGGACCCCACCACTGAGCCACATCCCCAGCCCTATTTTGTATTTTTTTTTAGAGACAGGGTCTCACTGAATTGCTTAGCAGTCCACTTTTGCTGAGACTGGCTTTGAACTTGCGATCCTCCTGCCTCAGCCCCCTGAGCCACTGGGATTACAGGCATGCGCCACTGCGCCCAGCCCAGAGTGGCCATTTTCAAATAGCATATCTCATTGCTCCCCTGCATCCTCCTGCCCCGCTCTTGCCCCTCCGACCACGCTGCCTTCCTCCAGAGCTTAGTGCCAGCTCTGATCTCTCCTGCCACAGGACCGCTGCACGTGCCCGTCTCTCCCCTGAACACGCTCCACTCTGCTCTTTAACTCCCATTCATCCCGCAGACCCCGTCTCTCTTCCTTGGGGAAGCCTCCTTTGGCCTCTGACAAGGTGAAGAGCCCCCCTGACAGTCTCTGCTGGCACCAGGCGCCTCTACTCGGGAGCACTTGTCACAGTGTTGATTGGGCCTTTGTCCCTGCCATTATTGTCTATCTCTCAAACACAGCCACCACTCCACAAGGACAGGGCCCGGGTGGGGCCTGCAGCAGGCTTCTTAGCATCCACATGCCTGGTGTGTTGCGGACTCCCTACAAACACCTGCAGGGGGGAGGAAGGCTGGGATCCAGTCTCTGCAGCGGGGCCCACTCACCTCTTTGTAGCCGAAGACAATGCGGCCATCACGGTGCAGAGCGGCCTGGAAGGTGAAGCTGCCCCGGTCCTCCCGGCCTTGGAGGTAGACGTGGTCCCACTGAACGACAAAGACTGTCCCTGAGGAGAAGAGCAGAGACCTGGCTGGACAGCCAGAGTGGAACTGGCCAGGGGTTTGCTCCGTTCAGGATGACGGGCTTCACAGCAAACTTGAGAAGGTGGAGAGCTGGGCAGCCCCCAGACATCAGCCCGGCTTCCAGGCTGTGGAGCCAGAGGTCCTGCTTCAGCCCCCAGACCTCTAACCCCAGGCGGGGTCCCTCCTTCTTGTCATCCTGACCCCTTGAGATGAAAAGGACAGGAGATGTCTGTTCTCCTGGGTGAGAGTGAGAAGCATCCAGGCCCCTGACATCTATTTCACCTCTATTAAGAGCACACACATAGATTTTGTCATCTCACCAGACTCTGCAAGTAGCTGCATTCTGTTCCTGTCTTTCATTTGAGGAACTAGCACAGAAAGGTGGGGTGGCTGTCTGGCTGTGTGATAGTGCGCAAGTCCCTTGCCCTCTCTGAGCCTGGGGCTCCTCTAAAGGGGGTGGACCAAGAGATCCCTGGGGCTTGATGACTTACACTCTGAGATCTGCCCTCACCATTGTCAAAGTAAGACACTGTGGAATTGTCGGAGTAGCCAGGGTTGAAGTTGGCCATCAGGGGGGCCACGTACTGGGTAGCTGTGAGCATCCGGTGGATCACGTCGCCCATGAAGATGAAGCCTGGGGGGGAGAGGCACAGAAGGGTTGCCGGAGGTGGCCTCCAGGGGCTGCTCCTGGGGGTCTTCTCCCCAAGGCTGGAAGAGAGCCTCAGACCCCTACATTCCATCCGGAGCTGGTGGCTCTGGGTCTGGTGTGTGTGGAGCAAAAGGCCCAGTCCAAAGAAGGTTCTCGCTGTGTCTCCAGCTGGACACATAGCATGGGAACAGGAGGTGACTCCCACCTCCCCGGATCCCTAGGGAAGTGGCACCCGGAATTGAAGTGCGTGGGAATCAGATGGGCTCCTGCGAGCAACACGGAGCCTGGTCCCAGGAACCCAGGCTTTCAGTGTGGTCTCCTCTTCCTCTCTCTCAGATTCAGAGACCCAGGGACCACAGGGACCTAGCAGGACACACATACGCACACACACACAGACACACACACACACACACACACACGCACGCACACGTGCAGCATGAGGGGGATGCTCTGACAGTCCTGATCTCCCTCCTAAGATGGGGCACCCAAGACAGCAAACCTGCGTCCTCTCCAGTCTGTCTATCAACCCCCTCTCCACTGAGACCCCTGCCTTCAGCCTAAGATGTCCGGACCTCCCAGGGCCCTGCTGGCTCGCCTTACCTCCAGTTGCTATAGTGATCTGCCGCAGAGGATGCCCATAGAAAGGGAAATCGAAGGACAACACCACTCTCTGCAGGGGACGGGAGAGAGTTAGCGTGAGTCAAGCCACAGGCCAAGGGTTGGGCACCCACACTTCCCCATGCTTGTCTGGACAGAGTGGGGGGGCAGACATGGCCAGGGCAGGCCCTTAGGACTGAAGGCAGGCACCCTCACTCTGGGTGAGCTCATGGGATCCCCTAAGAAGCCCCCCCCCAGATCACAGACCTCAGGCCCCTGCCATGCCTACTCCCAGGTCCCCACAGTGCAGCCTCCCACCCAGACACACACACGCCGGGCACCCTGGTCACTCACCGAGGCCTGCCGGTGGGTGTTGGAAAGGATCCTGTGGACCTTCACTTGGTTCTGGTTGGCCTCACCCACGTTCACCCACAGTTCCCGACTACGGGGCTCACTGGGGCCGTAGACACGGGACACATAGTAGCTGTGGTTGTCCTCCTGCAGGTGCCCAAGACAAAGCCTCAGGAGGCGTGGGGAGTCGGGCAGGCCAGGAAACGCCCTCTGCTCCTCCCCACTCAGTCTGCTGGATACAAGAAGTCACCCGGTCCCAGGGCACTGGACCTGTGGCCCAGAGGGCTAGTTTAGAGCTCTGGAGCCCCCTCGGCCCTAGACAGCTCACTACCTGGCCCCGACCCCTTCCCAGCACGCCTGCTGCCCCTGTGCCCAGCCCTGCCATTGCAGACAAACCCGAGGTTCATCCTGAACTCCCTCCACGTCCCCCACCCTGTGCCTTCAGAGTACAACCAAGACCTAGTTCAGCTCGAGGGAAATGAGGCAGAAACAGACAGAACAGCCCTAAGAAGAGCCTTATCTTCAGAGAGCGCCCAGATAGCGGGGAACACATAGGCCCTGCCCTGGGGGAGCAGCCAATTTAAGGGAAAACACTGGATCTCTGAAGGTGCCAGTCTAGAGGAAGCTACCTGATCTTGCGGAGTTCTAGTCTGATGGTGGGGGTGGGACACATGTGAACAGAACACCCAGACTCGGACCCTCCAGCAGAGTGATGCAGAGCCCATGCCAGGGTAACCAGAGAGGTTTTGTTTTTCATTTGTACCAGGGATTGAACCAGGTCCCTTAACCACTGGGCCACACCCCAGTCTTTTTTTGTATTTTATTTAGAGACAGGTGCCGTGTTTCACGACTTAAACACTCAGGGTCACTGGGCTGCAGGAAATAATCACACAGAGATACCTTTTTCTTTGGGTCCTAGGACGGCTCCTCTGACCTTAAGGGTCCACCAAGAAACAGAACGAGCATGTGTTGAAGCCTTTTATTGGGGAGAAGCCATTCAAATGAGGCAAGGGGTCAGGTTTCAGGGGGCTGAGTCTAGCTTCATGATGTCCACTGTCAGCAGGCTGACTGACATCTAGGGAGGCCTACCCAAAGGCAGAGCAAGAGAAGGGGACACACAAAGGGAGTTTCCATTGAACATTCTATCCCAAACAGGACAAAACGGTAAGATTACAAAAGAATAGGTGAGTGTAGCTCAACCCCAGGGTTGTGCCTACTCAGAAGACTGCCCTTGCTATCCGAGCAGGGGAAAAGACCGAGTCCCGCACTACCTGGCCAGATAACAGTCCCCACGGTGCATCAGAAACTGGAAGGCATGGTAATGCACTGTGGCTCCCCACTGACAGGGTTTTCCCTAAGTTACTTAGGGCCTGGCTAAGCTGTCAAGTTTGGCTTTAACTTGCCATCCTCCTGCCTCAGCCTCTAGAGCCACTGGGATGACAGCGTGGCCACTGTACCCAGCACCAGAGGGTTGTTAATGAGGAGAGAAGCAGCACAGAATCCTTTGAGTCATAATTTTGAGTCTCTCTTGTGTGCCTGAGGGGGATCAAATATGGAAGGAGGCAGATTGAGGTGTGGGGGGGTCCTCTCTGTAGTCTCTCCCCCAGGGGAGCATTTGGGGCCAGGGTTTACAGGAGGCTGGAGAAGAGTAGAAGATCCAGGGAGCAGAGCAATGTCATCACTTCCTGGAGCTGGCCCAGGAGCACCTACATAGGAGGCCAGGTGGCCAGGAGGCACGGTGGGCAGGTTCCATTGGCAGCCACCGCAGAGATGCCCTGGGCACCATGGGTCATTAATCAATCTGCCCAGCGGCGGTGGCTGCAGACACAGCAGAGCAAACAACGTCATCCCTGCCAAGCTGCCAGCTGCCCAGCCAGCTCTTGCCCCAGGTCCAGCAGGAACCAGGGACTCCTGCATTCTTCACCCGCTGGGAGGCAGACTCTGCTCTTCTGTCAAGTGTCACACTTGGTCACCAGGGGTCGGGCAGGCTGGGGGAAATGAGTAAAGAGACGTGGGGTGCAGTGGGGTGTCCCCACCGCCTCTGCACCACTCCTCCTCCTGCCTCTAGATGGCCCACCCCTCGGCCAACCTGGAACGGAATCAAGCTTATCTCAAATGCTTTTTGAAGTCACATCACTCTGCCCACAGCTATCGGGGCTCCTGGGAGATACTGTATTTGGGGTAAAATGCGAACCTCTGAGCCTGGCATGTGAAGTGTCAGCCTGAGCCAGCCCCCCTTCTCTCTGGCTTCATTTCTCTCATGCCCCCATGCACCCCTGGGCACCCACTAAACAGATTGAACTCCTCTGACAGTCTCAGGCCACCACACAGGAAGAATCACAGCCCCTGTATTCTCCTCTCAGCGGATTCCTGTTTCTTTAGTGCTCAGCTTAAACATCACTTCTTATTGACCTTCTGACCTTATCTGCCCAGGGACGACCTCCAACCCTTGCAAATCATCATCCAACATTTTTGGTGATCAGGAGTGAATCGTGTCTGCTATTTTCAATTGTCACATGGGCCCAGACTTATTGGGTTAATGAATTCTACCCATGAAGCCCCTAAGGAGGCCCTCCTGATGCCACCACCCCAGGGTGAGGCCAAGTGCCCGTGTCAGAATGCCGCTTCCTATTGCTGCCACAGCTGCCAACCCTGGGGTTCCAGGAGATGCCCAGAGGAAGATGCACTGCTCTCCAGCTCTTCCCACTGCACCAAAGCCATCTTATGCCAGGGATCACAGCCTCCCTGAAGAAACAGCAACTTCTGCCCCCGCCTAGCCCTCTTCTTCCCTCCAGGGCTCAATCTCTTCCATCCCCATCAATCTCTAGTGGGCAGCCCCACCTCAACCAAAAGCAAGGGCTAGGGTTGTGGCTCAGAGGTAGAGTGCTTGCCTGGCATACGTGAGGCACTGGGCTCGATCCTCAGCATCACATAAAAATAAAATAAAGGTATTAAAAAATCATACAATACTTAGGGAAAAAAAAGAAGCAAAGCAAAAGATACCAAAAATCACCTGCCAAGTCTATGTTCTCCAACCTCTGCAAAGACAGGCGTACCAAAGTGGGTCTGCTGATGCCCAACCTGCCTCCTGAGATTTGCAGCTGAGTAGTTTTTTATTATATTTGTCCTCAAAGCAAAAACTTTACAGGGGCCCTGGACAACACTATGCATCTGACAGTCTGAAAACCCCCAACTCTGAAGCCAGTTTATATTCAGCTGGGACAAAAAAAAAACTGTCATAGCTGTGGCTACAGCTCACCTCCTGCCCTAGCCTCCAGTTCAAATAAAAACGTAACTCATTGGGCAGTAACTTATATAACTTATGTAGCTCAGTGATTGAGCAACTTGCCTAGCATGTGTGAGGCCCAGTACCACACACACCAAAAAAAGCAGTTTATTACAGGGCACCAGTTAGCCTACAATTTTAAAGAAACCACTTAAATGTCTGTTTCTGATGGGCATGGTGGCTCATGCCTGTAATCTAGTGATTCAGGAGACTGAGGCAGGAGGATTGCAAGTTCAAGGCCAGCCTTAGCAACTTAGGAGGCCCTAAGCAACTTAGTGAAACCCTATCTCAAAATTAAAAAAGTAAAAAGGGCCAACGATGTGGCTCAGTGGTAAAGTGCCAACGTGCCCCTGGGTTCAATCCCTGGTACTAAACAAAGCAAAGCAAAACAAAACAAAAACATAATTGACAGAAGAAAAACCAATGAGTGAGCTGAGTGTTAGTGAACACTTGTAATCCCAGTGACTTGGGAGGCTGAGGCAAGGCAGAGTACAAGTTAAAGTCCAAATTCAGTAATTTAACAAGACCCTGTCTCAAAATAAAAAAATAAAAAGAATTGGGGACGTGGTTCAGTGGTAAAGCACCCTTGGGTTCAATTACCCTTCCCCCCCAAAAAATGTCTTTTTCTGCCTTAATTATGAGACCCTGACACACTGGGAGGGTAAGATCACCTCTGTGCCCATGGCTCAAAGTTCTCAGATACTCGGTGCTCAAGAAGCATGTACCCCATGAACTGAGACCTTGTGCCAGAAGCCCACGCTCTTCTTTTTGCCTTCTTATGAGAGAAGAAGAGACTGGGGCCAGGGAGGGATCCATGTCCAGCAACTGGGTAAAGTTTGTCTCCCTGAATCCTGGGCTACTTTTCTATGATGCCTGGGTGAAGGGGAAACCAGTGGCTCAATTTAGGTGAAGCCAGCAACTAGGTAGCACTTGAGTCCTTGCACGCCATGGGGTATTTAAATTGTATTCCCCAAAAAGATATATCCAAGTCCTAAGCCCCTAATCTGACTATGGTCATTTTTAGAAATAGAGTAAAGATCAAGTAACAATGCAGTCACACTTGGTTGGGGTGGGATCTCAATTCAACAAGTGATGTCTTTATAAAAAAAAAAATAAAAATTAGAAAAAGATGGTGATTTGGACACAGCTACAGAGACACAGGGAAGAAGGCCATGTGATGGCAGATTACAAACCAAGGAATGCTGAGGATTGCCAGGAGCCACCAGAAGCCAGGAAGAGACAAGGAAAGGGTTTCCTGTGGCCTTCAGGGGCAGCATGGTTTTGCTCACACCTTGATTTCTGACTTCTACCCTCCAGAATAAATTTCTATTGTTTAAGCCACCAAATTCGGGGTAACTTGCTATGGCAGCCCTACAGAACTAATTCACGTGCCCAGTTGTGTGTGCTCCTGCGGCTCAGTTGGGGAAACCTGCAGTTTTTCCCCACTGCACATCACTCCCCTGCTTAGAACATTCTGTGGCTCCCAAGCTGCACTCAGATCTAAGGTTATGCCCCTTACCACAGCCTACGTGTCCCTGTGGGCACTCTGGCCACTGCCTATCCAACATCCATTCCCTTTTCTTCTCTACGAACAGAAAATTGATTTTTGTAGCAAGCAGCCATGTAACCAGCAAAAAAGCCTTTGAAGACATGCTAGAAGGACGCTTAAGTCCCTTGATATGCCTGTTACACAGAAACAAATCCTTCCTGATGCCTGGTGGTCTGGCCCCTGCCCAGCACCTACTCCTGGCTCCCTGCTCTCCATGCTCCAGGCCTCAGTTCCAGAAATTACCAAGCCCTTTGTCTGTCCCAAGGCCTTGGTGCCTCCTGTCCTTGAAACCTCTTCCCCAACCCCATTTAG